TGCTGTGTCTCTCTCTGTCAAATAAATAAAATCTTAAAAAAAAAAGTTTGAGGTACCATGTTTTGTTAACATTGCTTGAGAGCCTCGTACTTGGCACCATGTTCCCATCTGTTTACACCTTTGAAAGTTTGAAAACATGTGGCTGAGGTCATAAAGATAAGGATCATTTTCGTTTCACTTTATAAAAAATTTAAGTTTTTTCATGTCAAAAAGCTAGCTAAAAGGAAAAAAGATTATGAAAAATGTAATTTTAGCATGTATCGCATAGAGTTATTATTCACAGCCTCATACAAAATTATTTTTTTTAAAAGCCAACATGTTGAAACTTACTGGCTCTACAAAAGAAACAATAAATACACATTTTTTTTTACCTGCAAAGCAAATCTAATATCTCCTCTTGAGCATGACATTTGTAGTCTGTTTGCCTTTTATATATTAACTTATTGATTTTCCCAGTATTCTTGAGATATAATTGACATATGGCATTGTACGAGTTTAAGTTGTACAACAGAATGATTTGATGTATGTGTATATTGCAAAACAATTACCATAATAAGTTTGGTTAACATCCACACCTCACATAGTTACAATTTTTTTTTTCTAGTGAGGAGAACTCTTAAGATCTAGTCTCTTAGCAACTTTTGAATACACAGTGGCTCGTGTTTTAAAACTGGTATAATGCTTTTTATTCATTCACTTATTCTGCAAATAGGCTCCCTGAGGACAGTGAGAAAGACTGGGTTCAAGGAGAACTGTTAAGGGGCTGTTGCTTCATGCCCTGTGGAAAGCGATGGTGATCAGAACTAGGGTGTAGGGAAGATGGAACAAATTGGACAGATGCATGTGAGAGTTCCTTTGGGGTAAATGTCAGAGACTGATGATGAATTGAATATGTGGAAAGAAGGACAGGAGTCAAAGATGATGCTGCTTGAGCATCTGGCCATGCCAATCACCGGGAGAGAAGAAGATGGAAAAGGAGGAACAGGTGAAGGTGGGGTGGGGTGATGATGAGCTCAGTTCGGAACATATTAAGTTTGTGAAGCCTATGGATCATCCAAGGAGAGATGAAAGTAATTTGGCAGTATGTGTCAACTGTCATAAAAATGTTTCTACTTCTAGGCATCTCTTTTAAGATAGTAACATTGAAGAATATGCACAGAGATGGTCTTTGCAATATTATTTATAACATCAAAAAATTGGAAGCAACTTACATGTCCGACTCTGAAGTAATTGTTGAATAAATCATGTGCACTTACAAAATTATATTGCCATAAATCTAAGACTGTACAATATGGTAAATGCTTATGACGCATTAAGGGAAAAAGCAGGGTACAAAATTGTATTTTAGAGATTATTGCAATTAGGTTAAAATATATGCATTTGAAAAACATTTTGCAAGGTACATTGGAAAATGAAAATAGTTATCTTGGTAATATAAATTAATTCTGTTTTTGTATCCCAGGTTTTATGTAATGTTTTTATATTGCTTTTATAATTTAAGGAAAAAATAAAACATTTCAAAGCACCAAAAACTCTATGCCCATTTATGTTATCTTGAAGTGAATTAATTTAAAATCTTACTAATTATAAATGCAAATCAATGTCATGTTAAAATAAGTTAACAGTTGTAAAAAATATTCATTTTATTTCTGTACTTATAAGTATATGTCACAATTATTAAGGAGATACATGGTCTTGGTTAGGCAGTCAGTAGGGAATAGAAATTGACTTTATGTGAAGCTTACAAGTAAGAACTTGTTTTAAATGGAATATATTTATATTCACTGATCATCTAAATACTTTACCAGTAGTTTCTCATACACACTTTTGTTCTGAATTTTTTATTTTCATCTTTAGCTTTAGCCCATTATATACTATTTATCTCCCGAAGGCACCATAGTTTTTGAAAAAAATCTTCCTTCAAATGAATCTTAAGTCCAAATACAAATTTGACATAAAGAACAACCAAATGAGTTTGTGTAATCGAACTCTGGGATATAGTTGTCAGCTCAGGGTGTGAGTTCATACTTACATTGACATAGCTTTGAATTTTTGTGATGCACTTTCACCTAATTTCATTTTGAAAAATAACAGCTTAATTGGGTTGTAATTCATATACTGTACAATTCACCTATTTAAAGTATGTAACTCAATGGATTTTAGCTTATTTTACAGAGTTGTGCTGTCATTATCACCATCAATTTTAGATATTTTCATCATCCTAACACCTTCGTCCCATACCCATTAGCAGCCACTTACCACCACCACCACCCCACCCCACCCCACCCCACCCCAGCCCTAGGCAACCACTGTTTACTTGCTATCCTTATAAACTTGCCTACTGTGGATATTTCATATGAATGGAATCATGCACTATGTGATCTTTTGTGACTGGCTTCTTTCACTTATCCACAGTATTGTTTTCAGGGTTCATCCATATTGTAGCATGTATCAGTACCTCATTTCTTTTTATGGTTGAGTAATATTCGATTGTATGGATATTCTACCGTTTATTCATTCATCAGTGAGCATTTGGATTGTATCCACTTTCTGACTACTATGAATAATGTTGCTGTGAACATTCATGTACAAGTCTTTGTATAGACATCTATTTTCATTTCTCTTAAGGAATATACTTAGGAGTGAAATTGCTGATTCATATGGTAGCTCTGTATTCAACCTTTTGAGGAACTTCCAGACTGCTTTCCAAAGTAGAGGCACAATTTTACATTGCCACCAGCAGAGTAGGAGAGTTCCAATTTCTCCACATACTCTCCAGCACTTCTTATTATCTGTGTTTTCTATTATAGCCATCCTAATGGATGTGAAACAGTGGTGTTTTTTTGTTTTTTTTTTAAGATTTTATTTATTTAGGGACACCTGGGTGGCTCAGTCCATTAAGCGTCTGCCTTCAGCTCAGGTCATGATGCCAGGATCCTGGGATGGAGTCCCGCCTCGGGCTCCTTGCTCAGCAGGGAGCCTGCTTCTCCCTCTGCCTGCCGCTCCCCCTGCTTGTGCTTTCTCTCTCTCTCTCTGACAAAATCTTTAAAAAATTAAAATCTTTAAAAAAAAGATTTTATTTATTTGAGAGACAGAGAGAGAGCATGAGAGGGGAGAGGGTCAGAGGGAGAAGCAGACTCCCCACTGAGCAGGGAGCTCAATGTGGGACTCAATCCCAGGACTCCGGGATCATGACCTGAGCTAAAGGCAGACGCTTAACCAACTGAACCACCCAGGTGCCCCTGAAACAGTGGTTTTGATTGTGGTTTTGATTTCTCTTTTGCTGAGGGCTAAGGGTGTTGGACATCTTTTCATGCACTTATTGGACGTCTGTATACTTCTTTGGAGAAATGTCTATTCAGAGCCTTTGCCATTTTTAAATTGGATTATTTGTTTGTTTGTTTTTGAGTTGTAACTTATATATTGTAGATACAATTCCCTTATTAGATATATGATTTGCAAATATTTTCTCTCATTCATGGGTTGCCTTTTCACTTTCTTGATGGTCACCTTTGGAGCACACTATTTTTAATTTTGATAAAGTCCAACTCATCTAGTTTTTCTGTTATTGCTGGAACTTTTGGTGTCATAACTAAGAAACCACTGCCTAATGCCAAGTCATGGAAATGTATACCTTTTTTTCCTCAGAGTTTAATAGTTTTAGCTCTTACATTTAAGTCATTGATCTATTTTGAGTTAATTTTCTTATATGCTAAGGGGTAGGGGCCCAACTTTATTCTTTTGCCTGTGGATACCCTGTTGTGCCAGTACCATTTGTTGTAAAGGCTGTTCTTTCCTCCATTGCATTATCTTGGCATTTGTGACAAAAATCCATTTACTAAATGTAAGAGTTTATTACTGGACTTTGAATTTTATTTCATTGATCTACATGTCTGTCCTTATGCTGGATTACTATTGCTGGTTGTTTTGATTACTATTGCTTTGTAGTAAGTTTTAATCAGTAATTGTGAGTCTTCCAACTTTGTTTTTCTTTTTCAAGAATTTTCTGTGGTTATTTTAGGTTCCTTGAATTTCCATATAAATTTTAGGATCAGCTTGTCAGTTTCTGCAAAGAAGACAGCTGGAATTTTGATGGGTTTATTTCATTTTATAAGTAGCTGTAGCATTGTCATCAGGAAAAAGAAATACTTATTGAGTAATTTCCCGGTTTTCTCTCTTCTTTTGAAAGACCCACGAGATTCCCTTTTCTCAAGCTGCTTCAAGATTATTTCAATGCTATTATCACTAACTTTTTTTGTGTGAAACTCTTACTAATTAAGTAGAGTTCTTTCTCCCTGATTACTAAGATACACTAAGAAAATTAATTACTAAGTAATTAATTACTAAGTAATTAGTAATTACTAATTACTAAGAAAAATTTTGCTTGCCTAATTTGTGCTTATCAAATAATAGTTTTTCTCTTAGATTAACTTCTTGGAAAAAAAAGTGAGAGACCTTGTGGTAGGAGACCTAACAGTAGGGGTCTGTGCAGTAGAAAAGCTGACAGAACTCTTGGGTAAAATAGCTAAGTGCCTAAAGCTCTAGAGATGTAATTTCACCATCTTATTAAAATGAAATCAAGTGAGATTTATTACCTACAATTATTTATTGGCTTAATGATAGTGTTATTTCTAAATAATTTACTTTAGGAGTAATTTTTAAAGGTAAGTAATCTACCAAACATGGTAAAAACAATATGACAGACACACGCTTACTTTGAATTAAAATAAATAGGATGAAAAAAAAATTTTTTACAAATTAACCTAGAATCAAGAAAGTGTCTAGAACACCAAAGCACTCAGTAAATATTGCTGGAATAAAGGAAAGAATGGAAGGCAGCTCCTACATGAATCACTGCTTTTAAAGCCCAGGCCCCTACCTTCGGGATGATTCTAGATAATCCCTTAATTCAAAGGGATAAATCCTGCTTTCAGGGTAGATTGTTTTTCAGTGTTTCCAATTTTCTCAAAGGATAACCTGAGAGTTTCACATTTTTGCAGCGTTTATGTCATGGTTGGTGCCGATGTTCCGTTTTCTTCTTGTTTACGAGAAGTTGAAAATCCACAGAATCAATTGAGATGCATTCAAGAAATGGAGCCTGTGATAACATGTGATAAAAAATTTCGCACTCAGTTTTACATTGACTGGTGCAAAATCTCGTTGGTGAGTTTTTATTTTATTTTGTTTTTGCAAATGTAATTGGAAGTGATGTGGCTGCAGATAAAATTTGACTAAAACCTGAAGTGCTTTTAGGTACAAATCCTGGGTTTACTTTGTTAATGCAATTGACTTCTCTTGACTTTAAGAATTTGGCAATCTTGTTGATTGCCAGTCTACCCTTGATTAGTTGTTGGGGCTGCATTAGCTTCGCAGGTGGTCCAAATGACCCCCCTGGATATCCAGGTGGCTGCTAAGCCAGGATAGATTACAGAGTCAGTGTGACATGTGAAGAAAGTCTCAAATATGCTGCCATTACCCACCTGGGAAGGAGAGACTGGGGTACAATAATACACCTGAAAATAAAGCAATATTGTGCTACGAGTTGGTGTCCTAAAAATTCAAATTGTAGGGCAAGTTCGAGGAATAAGAAAAAATTCCAAGTGAGCAAAATTAGAATCTTACCCACAGCCCCATAAATACTAAATATCTCCTTCTAAATTACTTTTATTTAGGATGCTTTTTAAAAAACTTAAGAAAATGTAGGTAAGGTTTCATATACACTTGATATATATCTATAATATTTCATATAAAATTTATATTATTTTTTGATCTTGCTTTCTGGAAGATTGGTAAGTTGTTTTACTTCTTTAGTGACCTTTAGATTTAACTTCTGTCAACGCTTGATTGGTGGTGAGTGAATTAGATCTAAGTTTAAAGTTGACATTTGAACAAAGTTATTGACACATAAACACAACTGTCACTTCATGTCTTAGAGAACCAACTGCAGGCAACTGTCCCAGATCTCCCAGGACAGGAGAACACAGTATTCATGTCGTAGCACTTAGCACCAGTAGCCCTTGGCCCTAGACTCCTCTTTTTATGTGACTGTGTCTTAGGAAAATAATTTTCTTTGTCTTCTTAAATCAAGTAAAATTTTTGAGCCACTGTGGTTTACGTGTACTATAGATGAATGTTGACTTTGCAAAGCTTAATATTTCTATCATGGTGCTAATCATACAAAGATGCCAAAGACTGAGTAACTGCAGTCCTAACTTGAGTAGGTACCTGTAACTGGAGTCAGCAGACAGCCGGCCCTAACAATGCCATTTAACTTGTGTTTGTGCTGTGAATTGTTTATGTTTAGGAATACTACCTAATTTCTGAAGTTTTAAAAATGACTTATGCTTTGAAATGTGTAGTTTCTATGGTAAGACTTTATAAATGGAAAAATTGGGATTTTCCTTTTTTATCTTACTTGTATTTATTTATGTGTCACATCTTACCACAGAAGATATCAGGAGGCTTAAATGAAATAGTCAAGCAATACACATAATAAATAAAATAGAAAAGAAATGGAAGATTGGGACCTGAACTTTATTTAAAAAATAAGCCTAAGGTCAAGTTTGAAAACAAGCTTCCTATGTCCAGGATTAAAAGAGGAAATTCATCAGTTACTTAGTTCTCCTTCTTAAAGGAGACAGAGCATCAATTCCTTGGCAGAAAATAAAGGTTTCACTAGCACTGTATTCTTGACAAAAGTCTTCAAATGGGTTTTTTGTTTTGTTTTTTTTTTTTTGAGAGGATACTGAGAAATGCCACAAATCATTTTCTCCAACATATTTTGGGGAGAGGGCATTCAGGGGGCAAAAGTAGGGACAAATTTCACATGGCTATTTTTACAGTGCCCTTCAATAAAAACCACAACATAATTAAATGCAACTCAGTGAAAACAGTTCAATGAATGTGGAGGTAAATTAATACAGTGCCAATGTGCATTTTTTTATTCTGGGATAGAATTTAGTAAAATTATAGTATTGGATGAGTTCCATGTTCCTTAGGCTGTCTTTCCTCCAAATCATTTCTGTCAGCTGGACAGCAGAAAGATCAAGGTTGTAATCATTTAGAAATTGTCTCTCATTTTATTTTTCTTTTCTCTTTCACTAACATTAGAGACCACACCAGCATACCTGGTTGTCCACCAGTTCATGGTTTGTTAGCATCTGCACTAGAACTTTGTCCCTAGGAAACAAGAAATGTACATGGTAGTATGAAGGACTTCTTCTTCAAAGGAAGGAAACTAGGAAGAACAACCACATACACACATACACTTATTATGTATGCATTCATGTACATATGTCTGTATGTTGTGGAAAGGGCATAAAATGTTGGCCAACATAAGCCCTTTAATCTGTTACTTTTGTTCATTACCTCTTCCTAGCTCCCATAAACAGTGGCATGTTCAAGATGATAACGTAATTGGAAAAGACGGCTTTTTAGAAATGTGTCAAAGAAGTTTTGATATGTCTAGGTCTTCAACTCTTGTAATGTTTGCAGCTATTAATTTTGATGTGTAATTGTGTTCTTTTATATCAGGTCGATAAAACAAAGCAAGTGTCCACCTATCAGGAAGTGATTCGAGGAGAGGGGATCTTACCTGATGGTGGAGAGTACAAACCCCCTTCTGATTCTTTGAAAAGCAGAGACTATTACACGGATTTCCTAATTACACTGGCTGTGCCTTCGGCGGTAGCACTGGTCCTTTTTCTAATACTTGCTTATATCATGTGCTGCCGACGGGAAGGAGTGTGAGTACTTTAAAACACTAATAAAAAATTATCGAGCCTACTAGGATAACAACATATAAGATTCCATTAAAAGCCAAGTTTCATTTGGTTCATAAAACACTTTATAAATTAATTGAAATTGTGTTCAAGTCAACCTACAGTACTTTATTCCTTTAAAATGAATTAAAATAGTTTTGACTCTAGTAAATCAAATTAGGGGATATAATTACTTTATTCAACAATTATTAAGGCTAGATGTAAATTCATGCTGGCAAAACAGTCCCAAGAATAACTGAGGCTAGCTCTTTTGGTTATATAAGCCATTTTGTGTAGAGACTGTGGAATCTATTGACATGGTGATTGCACTTTAAGTAAATAAATTGTCTTAGTTTGATCAGAAGTGATGGTCAGAATTCTTCTTGCAATTGTTCTGTCAAACGGGTGACCTAATCTAAGTGTTTAAAAGATATGTATGTATACATATAAACCTAGGAGTAAATTAGTGAAAATAAGAGTATAATTGAGTGTTCACTTCATGAACAGTTAGCACTTTCAGGACATCTGTGTCAATTAAAATAATCTCCCAAGATTATCTGGAAGTCAGGGCAACAAAGCAAAGGATAAAAAATTAATAAAGCAGCAAGTAACAAATTCTTCCATTTTTTACATGTAGCCTGATTTCATTATGTCATAGAATTTATTTCTAAGAGCTTAATTCTTAATCTCCTTTTTTTTTTTCATTTTTCTGTGTGTTTCTCATCAGTATTCCATCTCTGTATGTGTACTCATCCAAGTAATGTCATAAACCTGGTGGCAAATGCTGCCTGGTTGCGTTTAATAGTAACAATGTCAGCATTTCCACATCATGCAAGATCCCATGAGCATATAGTCTTAATGTTCCAAATATCAATGCTATTATTTAATTCATAAATTTTGTTTTGTTTCTAGGGAAAAGAGAAACATGCAAACACCAGAGTAAGTGTCTTCTTTCCTGTTATTTTCTTTATCATGTTTTTTCACTTCTCAGTTGCTCATCATGCTCCATACATGTGTGTCATGCTTTGATTTTGTCATTCATCATCTTTCATAGTTTATTTCATAAATGTGAAAGCTGCTTTTTAAATAGAGATATTTAGGAGGGGTAGAGACTAAAAATAAAAAGAGTTTGAAAACAAAGATTACATAGATAAAAATTAAACCTAAAATTTCAGATTCAGAATATTAACTTGCCATTTATATGATGTGATTTCCCAATCTGCATTTCTATAAACCAGAGAACAGATGAAAAGAACTTTCATACACGTTTTCCTGAATCTACAGTAATAACCTACCATAAAATGAAACTTCTGTGAGTATTTATAAATGCCCCATCAGAAGCACCAATATAAAAGCTATGGTAGTTTAATCTTAATCGTAGAAATTAAATAGCACACTAGTTTGTTACTTAGGGCTATAATATTAACACAATGCTTTATAGCTTAGTTTCATGCAAGACACATTTATTTAAAAATTGGTTTACGATGTTCAGTTTTGCCCTGTTAAAAGCATGTGAAATGTATCTCTTTCAGAGATAACTTGTAGAATGCCCAAAGTGTAATAATGTCTTATTTTAAAAAGAAAAAAAAATTCATAACTTTTTCAAATTTGATGACCCATCAGGCTAATACTTGATTTTAAATACGTGTGTGTTTTATTTCTTTTCGATCTAGCATCCAGCTGGTCCATCATAGTGCTATTCAGAAATCTACCAAAGAACTTCGTGACATGTCCAAGAATAGAGAGATAGCATGGCCCCTGTCTACGCTTCCCGTGTTTCACCCTGTAACTGGGGAGATCATACCTCCTCTGCACACAGACAGTTACGAGAGCACGAATATGCCACTGATGCAAACGCAGCAGTAAGTACCCGTGTGCTCCTGTCATTATTAATATGCATGAATATACCCACTTAATTTTCATAAAGACCAGAACTTTTCATTATTGCTTCTGTTTGTTTGTGTATAACTCTAAGAGAAAATACCAAAAAGACATTGATAGTGTAGATCCCCAACCCCATGGTGCTGACACAAATATAAAGGATTACTTTCAGGAAAGGCATTTTTTTTCCACTAATAGAAACAAGATGACATTCACCTTAATATTTCAGAAATTGACACTGTTAATAAACTAACATGTGTGCTCAAAGATGAGTTAATTTTGAAAAGAAATGCATATCCTAAAGCCTAACAAATTGATTATTTTTTAGAGTTATTATTAGAATTATTGGGTTCTGTTAACCTATTTTTTGATGTTATTACCACACCTCTATTTAATCTAATTTTTTTGTGCCTCAGGATAGAAGGTTTTTTTGTTATTTCTTGTGATCTGCTTGTATATCAAAATGAGTAGTTCCAATTTTGACTGTAAGTACAATTTATTAGTGCCAACTTTTGTAGTGCTGGAAGGACTATGATCAGAAAGCCTGGAAGAAGCCTTTGTAAGGGGTACCTATGGGAGGGAAGGGGTTGAGGAAATTGCCTAGTTGCTCTTTGAGAACCCATATTATATGCCTGGAAGCTCCATTTCAATATAAGGGAATTGTAGGTAAAATTGCCATTTATTTTTAAGAACATAGCTCTTTTTTTCCCACCAATTTTAACCATATGTTGAGATGGGTTAAATTCAGTTTCCCAAGGAAGTCACAGGTTGGCTTTTGAGATCCTCTTCTTCATCATTTTACTTTTGTGAATATGATGGATATAGAGAAAAATCTACCTTCCCCCACCACATAAACCTTAGGGTATGATATACAGGTAACCTCTTACTGATTAAAGATTTCTCTGGGAACCATCCTGGATGCAAACATTTTCCCATTGCAAATGCTTATTTTGTAACCATGCAAAATGTATGTGGTGATTTGGAGATTAAGCAGTAATTAATATGAGGAGTATAGATAGACTCAATAAGTTTGTCCAAAATACTTCAGAAATCTAAAAGTATTGTATTTTCCTAAACTTATCTAACATTATTCACTTACTGAATAGGCTAAGGTGTGTGTTTATATGTGCATGTATGTGTAAGTAATTGAAGTCTGACTGACAGTGGAGAAAATTGCATACATTTAACATTTTGAGTTTTAGAAACATTAATATTTGATCAGGGATGTGAATATTAAAGTCTCACAAAATATAGTTGTACTGAAGGGAAGGGGTAGATTTCTATGTTCTCTGATGGTTAGTGGGTCATCCTAAAACCCACTTTACCAGGATTAGATACTGATGAAAAAAATTAGTATAATTTCAAGAATATTATAATAGCTCACAACTTAGTGATCTCTCCTGCTTTTTTTTTTAAATGAAAATATGAACAGCCTTTTCATTCATTTCCAAATGGAAGGAATTTTAAAATTCTTTTAGGCTACAATTCCATATTTTCTTTACCCAAGAGTTTACTAGTAAATGTGGCTATATATTCCTCAAATGTTGATATATATTCTCAAAACCGAAATGGTCAAATACACTTGAGAAACAGGTTTTGTTTTTGTTTTTGTTTTTGTCTTAAAACTACAAGGGTTCTCAGAGGCCTTGAGTGTTGATTTGCTTCATGAATCCATGGAAAAAGGCCAGAAGAGGTAACTCTTCAATGAACACAGTCTGGGAAATGCTTCTGTTGACAAATAACAATACTATTAAGTTTTGGAATAGGGAAATATTTGTTATAATGAGTAGGGGAACTTAAATATGTTTGTAAATCAGTAAAACTCTGTTGCTAGTGAAGTTTAAGGGAAAGAAAAAGGCTGTGTCATTTAGATATGCTTTCTAACCATATATGCTGAGAATGAGAGTAGCTCCTTAAAAATTATTTTGATTTTCTGTGGTTAGGGTTTTGCAATGTTTCTACTTACATACAAACACAACAACATTTTCTATCTAGTTTACAACCAAATACATCTTCCTGGTCCTCCCATAACCCCATCAACTGTCATTATGTTGATGACATCTCTCTATTTGCAAATGCAATAGGTTATTCTATTGAACTTGTGACAATTTGACCATATATGTATTTTTAAGTCCAGAAAACCTTTACATTATTCAGATTTCTGCTAATGGAAAAACTCCATTAACTAGCACTTCTATATAAATAGGGTAGATAGATAATTGATGATGTGCACAATGATTATTCTGAGGCACTGCGAGATCATCAAGTACGTCTGACTCATCAGAGGGAAATTAAATTACATTCGGTGTAGTTTCAGTGTTGAGTGTATATTATCTTTCTTTTATTCTTGGAAATGGATAATATGTGCACTGTCTCTATGGTAACTCCCTATAAGCCAGAATATGTGATTAACCTCATTTTCCAACCATGCCAGATAATAGGGAAATTCATTGTATCAGGTTCGTCACAGCTGTCCTTTACGCAAATTCAGCTTTTACTCTCTTACCTTAAAAGCATGGCCCTGTTTTTAAAGTTTTATTTCAGCACCAAGTACACACAAACATACATACATATTTTGGTCATTTGGATTGAATTGAATTCTCCACATTAAAATGAGATATTATATTTGATGAGGCATTATAGTACTTGATAACCAAGTACATGCTTAGAGAATGCTGCCTGGTATTTGTTCATTAACCCTTCCTAAAAGGGTATGCATTTCATCTTCCCATATTCATAGTAACCTTACTGATTCATAAATGATTTGGCTAGCTACAGGATTTCATGTTTATTCTTCAGACTTGACACTGGAAATATTCAGGCATAAGGACATGGCTGAAAGTTTATGTTGGCTTCTAAGCAAGACTCAAGGACATTATAAGACTTTTCAAAGCTTTCCTTCAGAGCTACATGGAAATTTGGTTGGGTCTTTTAAACAAGTCAATCCACGAGGTCTAGAGAACCTTAGAAAAGTGTGAGGTAAAGAGGACTCAATAACAGTTGTATGATGAGGGGCTGCCACCATAATTTGTCAGTTACACAGTAATATTTTCTTTTTGGTACAGCGCTTCACAGGATCTGGACTGGCACCATACCTTAGACAGCAAAGAAATGTTTAATCATTTGCAGATGATAAAATTAAGGCATGGATAAGAGACAAAGCTAAATTAGGTCAAAACTGAGATTAGATTATTTGCCTACCTTGCTATTAAGTCAAAGATAATGTAGTCATTGAACTCAGAAGGATCTCTGATCCAGGTTATAGGCAAGGGATTGAATAGGTCATGGAAAGGGAACCTAGAGAGGGACCAGGAGATGGAGCATATGCTCGGAAGGGACGATTTCATTTTGTACAGTGTTCCTTCTACATTCCAGATTACAGAGACAATATAAACAGGCTGTTAAAATGATCACATAGTCAATTTAGTTTGGTCTTTGCTAATGTGTTTATTAATAACTGTTTTATTTTGGAATGATTTTCGAGGTTCAGAGAAGTTGCAAAGATAACACAGAGAGTTTCCAGAGATCCCTCACCCACTTTCTCCCATTGTACCTTTGTCAAGACTAAGAAACCAACATTGGTGCTTTACTATTAAGCAGACTTCAGATTTTTTTTTTAATAATTTGAGATTTCACTTTTTTTTTTTTAAAGATTTTATTTGAGAGAGAGAGAGACAGCATGAGTGGGAGGGGCAGTGGGAGAGGGAGAGAGAGAATTTCAAGCAGACTCCATGCTGAGTGAGTGTGGAGCCTGACTCAGGGCTTGATCCCAGGACCTCAGGTCAGATCATGACCTGAGCCAAAACCAAGAGCCAGAGGCTTAACTGACTGCACCACCTAGCTGCCCTGTGAGATTTCACTAGTTTTTCTCCTAATGTCCTTCTTCTTGTTCCAGGACTTTTGTCAAGGACACAATAATTGGCATGTCTCTTTACTCTCCTCTGGCCTGGGCAGTTTTTTAGACTTTCCTTGTTTCCCCATGACCTTGATAGTCCTGAAGAGCACTAGCCACATATTCTGTGGAATGTTCCCCATCCCCTAACACAGTCAGGCTTTTTGCATCTGTACTTAGTTATCTTTGCAGTTCAGTGAACACATGTTACCATTAACAGTAAGAAGAACTTTTCTCTTTATAGGCTGTCACCTCATTTCCACTCATTGCTGGAGATTACATTATAAAATAATTCTTTTTTTAAATTTATTTTTGATTTATTTTTGATTTTTTGAGAGAGAGAATGAGAGAGTACACGAGCAGGGTGGGGAGGGGCAGGAGAGGGAAAGAGAGAATATTAAGCAGGCTCCATGCCCAGCAGGGCTCCATCTCATGACCCTGAGATCGTGACCTGAGTGGAAATCAAGAGTTAGATGCTTAACCAGCTGAACCACCCAGGCACCCCATAAAGTAATTCTTAAAAGTAAATCTGCTTTGCCCAAAGAATCATTGTTGTGATTAGGAGTTATCTTTTTGACCAAAGATTTAACTTAAAATACATTACAGATTGACTGATGTACCTTGAAAACAAAACTTTGTAATGATTTGAATGAAGAAAATCAAATTCCAAGTCATAGAATTTTGGGTCCTAAAAGGTATGTTGAGAGAGAGTCTAGCCTGGTTGTTTCCAAACCAAGTTGAAGATCACACTCACCTGTGGAGCTCCTGCAATGCAGATCCCAGGGCCCTAGGTCTACGGATTTGGAATCTGGTGGATGTGTGAGTCAGGTGGAACAGGAAAAAGGGTTGAGAATTCCCAAATAAAATCCCTGATGGAGCTAGGTTTGAGGATTTGGGAAAGCCAGCTTGGTGTTTCTTTTGGGGGTGGAGGTGGGGAAGGGGTTGTTATTCACATTCCTCCACCTGGAGTTTTAAAAGGGGAACAGTGTCTCCTGATTCCTCCCTAAGACGTATGTACAGAAGAAAAGTGTGAAAGGGGGCGGTTCGGGTGCTTGATCTAGAGTGTGGGGACTGTTTGTGGGTTTACACTTCCCAGCTTCAAGACTTTTCGCACCTCCTCCGGTTGCCTGAGGAAAATGGTGTAGAGAAGTGAGAGATGAGTACTGATTAGTACTGAATGGGATAGAGAAATGCAGAGCCTCAAAAAATGAAAAACCACTGGGAAATTGTGATTTTGCACTTTTATGGGAGGCATTGGCTAGAGAATTTCAGATACTCAATTTTCTGAAACGGAATTTATTCTAAAATTTGTGATATATTATGTGTTTTTTTAGGGGGTAGATCTGCCTCCTTATTACTCTTTTCTCATACCAACATCAATATCAATCTGTTTTTCCTGAGTGGGAGGCATCCTCATAGAAGATTTTATGTAATGAATAATAGGGAAAAGTGCCCAAACATTTCCTAGAAAGATTTTAATTGTCTTTATGAAAAATTTCCTTATTCATTATACTAAACATGGTATCTAATCCAGAGTAATTGGGTCTCCCTCAAAACAGGAGGTAGGTTGTGCTTAATCTTTTATAAATTAACGAATATAAAACTAGAATTAAGTCTTCTAATTAAAGATATAGTAACAAATCATTTTAACTCTTGTCTAAAGTGTTTTTCCATTTGTCTTCCCCTGGGTAATAATGAGAACTAACTATGGTAAAATTTCATAAATAAAAAGTCAGATTTCAATGAAAGTTAATATCAGTTGAAGAGAATGTTTTAGGGGACCAATATAATGGTTTCCTGTTGACAAGAAGTGTCAAGCGGCCAAGGATATTTCAGAGCCATTGACGTTGTTTTTTGTTTTTTGTTTTTTTTTTAATTCAGCAATGGATGCAATATCTTTTTGATAGCTTTTGGTTCTATAGGTTTGTACTGCTTCAGTTTAAAGCCATGGTAGACTTGCTTTGGCTTTATTCAAGCAGGAGAAAATAACTAAAAGAAATAAATAAATATCTCCTTTCTCATTTATGTTCCATGTATGTTCTACACTGATTTTAGTTAAAATTAGGTTTTGAAATTAAAAATTATAGTGATGTTTTCCAATTTCTCTGTGTCCTTCCTTCCTTAATCCAAATAATGACCTGGTTCTTTAGTAAAAGTAAGTAAGAGGTCCAAATCGGCATTTTTGTTGGAAAAAAATTATAGAAAATTCAAGGGTTAGGCAACATCAATTTTGCTGAAATAATTGGGAAATTCCAAAAATATACTACTATAGTTAAATACATTACTTATTGTTAAAGGGCTCCGTACTAATTCAAAAGAGAAGTGTTTTGTATTCTACATAGCCAAACTAATGTCATTTATTTTCAACTCTGGCACAGATTCTGTGGCTTAATGCAAATCACTTAACCTTTCTTTGCTTTTGAGTCTTGCAGCAAGTTGGAATATAATGTTGATAATCATCAACCTAACTCATAGAATTACTCTACAGGATATCCAAGAACATCAAATTACCTTAAAATGGTTGTACAAATAATAAATAATTGTGTCCTCCCCCCAAATCACTTATTTATTAATTTGCACGTTATTACCTTTGCTTCCTTGAAGAATAAAGTTTGTGCAATGGCCGATTTACATAATTTTCTATTTAAATGCATGCAATTAATGGTAGTAAAATTAGAAAATAATTAATGCTAATAATTTAGAGAACTCCAGTTTTCTTAAATCTTTTTTCCTCTGTAATGTAGTTTACACATAATAATCTTTCCATTAGTTCATTAATAACGTAATTTTTGTAAATAGTTTTATGACTTTGTAGAGGTCCTTTCTTTGAAGGTTTATTGGGCTTCTATTTGAAGTCATCCCCGCTCTCTTGTGTAATTGCCTTCAGCGGTGTGTTTTCACCAAAGATGAAAATGCTTCCATTTTCTCGCTGTCTGGTCTGCTTGACTGAAGCAGAGTTAGTCCTGAGAATTTCTCCAGTATCCCTGAAGCAGTGCTCTCATGAGGTACCTCCGTTCAACACTTCAGTGGAATTCACACTTCAAGTATGCCCATCATGGACATTTGAACCCTCTGATACTCACAGGCTCACCTGCAGTCACAGGTTTGGGCCCCCACCCACAAAAACAGAGCCAGCTCTGCCCACCCAGGAGATGCTGGGGATATGTGCTTCTCCATCTATTTCTTGTCGAGCACCTTTTTGCACATAGAAGCACTTTCATAGAACTCATCCATAGTTCAGTTGAAGTTGCAAGTAGTGCATGTACATGGCTCAAACCTAACCAATTGGGACATGCACTGCAGGTAGTTTTAAATCCCTAAACCAAAGTCCCACCATTACTTTCTCACACATCTCCAGATTTCTTGCTACCTTGTGTGTGGCACTTTCTCAACCAACCGTTCTCCTTGAACCTAGCCAAGCCCATTCCTACTTAGATGGTTTAGTAGTGTAGTGGAAGAGGAAAAAAAATCAGGGGCTAGAAAAGAAATTACAGGGTGGAGATTGACTTTGATCAGTTGTTTTCAAACTCTGTTCCACAGAAGGGTAAGTTGGGCTGAACACCGGGAGTGAGGGGGCTTCCAACTACTAGCCAAATATTGATTTTGAATTTGGGATATCCTTGATTTGGGGCTTTTGAAAGCTTTCCTTGTCATCTTCCGTATTTTTGTTTTGTCAAAATGTATTGATTTAATCCATTGATAGGCTAGGTAGAGCTAGAGGTGATGGGAAATGAAGCGTCTGTGTGTGTGTGTGTGTATGTGTGTATAAGGTGTGCTGTAATAGCTTCTAATGTAGAATAGATAGGCCCACATTAGTTGTACCTGAGAAGTTAAAACAAAATTCATATCCCCCTCCCAAATGCCCATGAAATTGCGTTTTGACTTCTGTGTTAAAGATATTTGTTTTCCCACCTTTAACTCTAGAACTTATTTTTTCTGTGGTTTATAAATTAATCTTTTTACTTCCATGATCAAAACCAGTATAAATACATTGTATGAAACACTGTAAGAATAAACAAGCATATAAAATACTCCATGAGACCACACAAGGATAAGTAGGGTTGTTAAGTAATGGCAAACAAGAATATAATTATTGGGATGAATTATTAAGTAACTTCCTCGAATTGAATTAGAATTGATTTTGTTATTTCCTTAACAATATATTTAAAATGGAGCTGAAAATCTAAAAAAATTACTTGAAGTCATTAACATTCCTATAGATTAATTTAAGAGTTTAAATAGTATTTAGCCTTTATAGCTTTCCACTTTAGATCGTTGTATTTGGGACATAATATTTGCCTGCCTGAAATGATTCAGATCAATGGTTTTTAACTCTGTTTCTTGGAGGTTTCTTAGAAATGCCTTAGGGGCCAGCATGTGGGGCAAAAGAAACAAAGCAGACGGGATTCCTGGTTCCCTTGTTTCAAACCAGGCAACCTCACAGTTATCTCTTTTGTACATCAAGAGTTCTGCTTAGGATTTCAATTAAAAGGAATTCCATTGCTGAAGAGAAACAAAAAAACTGAAAACTCCTGGCTTGGATCTAGCCCTACTCTGTAGTGAGGGGCTGACTCCTAGAATTTCTTCCACACAGGATCTCAACTGTACATTTTTGCAAATGAATTTTAATATCAAAATTTGAAACTAAATGAGTATGAATGTTAATAAATATGTGTATTTTCTGTGAATCTTTCTAAGTATCTGCACTTTTGCACGTATTCATTCAAAAATTATTGCATGCTTACTGTTGGGGAGACTGAACAAAAATAAGGGGTTCATACTGGTAAGGCACTTTAACATTATGTGATGAGAAATACAACAATCAGCAATGTACAAAACCTTATTAAATGGTAACCTAATGGGGAGGCAGTGCTTAGAGAGTGAGGAGGCTAGAACAAGTGGTACTTGAGGTATTTTTTATTTAAAACAAATAATAAGTTAAAAATTTTTAATTAACCCATTCTTTGTGGGATAGTTTTAAATTATAAGACTAACCGTGTCCATTGTAACAAATTTTAAGTTGAGTTTGCAAGGACAAATGGGAGCTGGTTGGGTACAAGAGATGGTCGTGGCCATGGTGGTGGTGCTCCATGTAGGGACCAGATATATTGGTGGTCTTCTGGGCCAAACTTAATTTGCAGGTAGGCATAAGGAAGTAATGAAATGTGTGTGGTTTGAATGACATAATCGGCGTTGTGTCTTAGAAGATCATCTGACAGCAAAGAGTTCCCAAGATTGGGATGGGGGAAGGGAAGGAGGGAGGGGTCGATGATGACCTCTGCATCTTGACTCTACAGTTGGGTGGATGGCCCATGTCATTCCCTGGGCAGGGATAGAAGAACATAGCTTTGGCATAATGAGTGAAGATGGGTATGTATGTTGTTCTGTGAGAGTATGTGAGCATGTATGTATGTTCTAGACCTGAATCTGAAAGTATGTGTGTTCTAAGCACAAGTCCTGGAGTCCCTGGATTCATATCCTTATCCGCCATTAGCTATGTAGCCTTCGACCTCTAAGCCTGTTTCCTCATCTGTAAGTTGAGAAAAATAATACCTACCTTTTAGGGTTGTTGTGAGGTAGAACATAGCATTTAATAGGAGCTTTATGAATGTTATCAAATATTATTATTTATCTTCTTCAGACCTTAGGTTTCTCGTGCATAAACTCATGGGGGTAGGCTGGGTTAGATGATTTCTGGGGATCTTTTTAGCTATAAAATTTTTCATTCTAGTATGTCTGCTGTCTGTTTGCATGTGTATAAACAAACACAGTTTTACTCAAAAATGCTAATCATTTCTAGGAACTTGCAACATCAGACTCAGATTCCCCAACAGCAGACTACAGGTAAGTACTAAAAGTAGTAAGTTGATATTAAACGTATGAAGCTAACAGATTAAAAGATTATTATAGGACCGTGTCATTTATGAAGCTTTAGCTTCATCAAGTAAGGCAAACCAGTTGTGTCATTCCTTAATCAGAGTTAGAACCTTAGAATAATAGCTTAGATTATTGCATAGATTGCCATCAGAGTGATAAACACAGGGTAAATGATCTTAGAGCAAAAGCAGCCATGGAGGTCCTGTCTAATTAAGGAAGACTGAATAAAATCCCCTTCCTTCAGCGAAGCTCCCTATTCTTCCCCTTGGTATGAAAGATTCTTAGCTTGGATGCATCCAGGATTTGTCTCAGTAAGTGAGCAGCTTGAAACTGACTCTTACAAAAGGAAACCATTGTGACTAATCACTGAGGCTTCAGGGGGATAAATGAGAAATGGTTGGCCTGGTTTTAATGCCACTTTAAAAAGCTGTTATAACATGACCAGTGACAACAAGATGGCGGACGATTCTCCCTTGACTATTCTATTTCCCTAAGACTTGCTTTCTTTAAGTTTATTTCTTTCAAGTGTCCCTAAAAAATTTCCACAGCCAATTATTTCATTCATCTCGGTACCAAGTAGATAACTTATTCATGATTGTCTTCTAATTAGTGGTTGATTCCTAGTTCTAATTGCCAGGCAACCAGTAATGCCTTTTGTGGCTCTCTTGGAAAAGCAAGAGAAGTTTTAAAAATGTAAGTTGGATGTGGAATTCTGAGTATGAATAGTGGTATTGTAGTAGGGAAGCTATTAAGTAAGTCTCTTAAAAACTTCAGGCACATATAGAAATTTATTGGATGTTTTTATTCAGAAATTATTTTCTCTATTACTGCTTTCGGGAATTTAAGGAGATTTTCGTTTGACAACTTTTCAAAGATTTGAGGCAAGTATAATAAAGTTGTTCATCAGATTTTAATTATGAGATAATGCTTATCAGAATTTTCTCCCACCGTTTTGATCACTTGTTTTAATTAAATGCTAACATGTTTCAACAAGGGTGTTCAATATATTGATGTGGTGGTGCTACTGTGTAAGCATTCAGGAGATTGATGAAGGAATAAACTTTGTTATAAATATCTGTTACCTAAAGAGCAAAGACAAAAACAAATCCCTCTTAACACTAATTGCCTGGCTTTTTTTTTTTTTAACAAGAAAACATTTAAAGGAATATTTCTACATTTCCCTCATTAAATTCATAGACTTCTAAATCTTCTAAGATGCCTTTCCTCTGATTCTTAATTATTTCATGCAAGGAGTGAGTGGAAGGGAGACAGTTTCTAGTTAAACAGTAAATAACTTATTTGTGTGTTTTAAAAATCCAGATTTTACTTATTCTCCCATTAGAGGAAATAAGGGAGCCTGAATAGATGATATTAGAGAGACATATTTGATAGTGGTATAGATTTTCAGCAAGCAGACTTGTTAATGTGCTAGTTTTTAGTAATAGGCAGCATTTCCAACTATAAGGACAACTTATGCTGAGCAAATGGGATAAGAGCCAAAGAATTTCCCTAGGGGAATTTTGGGCTGTTCAACCCAATTTTCTAGATTATTTTTCTAAAACAGATTTTGGGGAGCATGCATTTTGCTGGAGTCAAGGAAGCTTTGATCTCCTTTTTAGTTAATATGATATCCTATTACCTCCTTGTTTTCTTATATTTTTCTGTGATTTGGAGCACATTATTGACTAAAGTGCACTATCTCCTCTTGTCATTGTTGTTTTTGATGAGTCCCCAAAGTATTTAAGTGCTAAAGGGAGAGAGACCACCCTAGCATTTTTTATAATTATGATAGATTGTTGTGTTTCTGCCTCTGATAAACGTACAACCAAATAGAGTTATGCCTCCCGGAGAGAAGAACTGAATGGGCAGGTTACGTTCCTTATTCCCATTCCGTTTGTTTGAATGAAAAAATAGTTTGTTTCTCAGTTTCCAAGTTATTCTGCTCTGTATGCACATCCATGGATTTAGGGCTCTTTATGTATTTTCCTGGGTACAACAGCTTTTCTCTCACTCCTTCCTGGTTGCCCCGGTACCACAAAGAGGCAACCACATTTGAAATAATAATTTGCTTTTTCCAACCTCAAAGCACTATGTAAGGTCACAGTTTTCTTTATGAAGGTAATTTAATCACAGGGCTTGTCTCTTGGATACCAAGTAATCTTATCTCTAGCTACTTGTATGGAATTTTTTGGGAAGAGTATATTTTGAAGTTTGTTTTAGTTAGTTAGTTGTTTTTTTGTTTTTTTTTTAAATGATCACCCAAAGTTTAAGAAATGAACTAGCTGCTGGTGTTGTAATCCTGGCCTTAAGCACTTGCTGGGATAATAGAGCAGTTACAGGCTGACATTAGCACTGCCTTTTTGGACGAGGCCCAAGCCATTAGGTTTGATGCCCCTTCAGGTTTTCTCATTTTCTTTGCCCTTCCAGCCCACACAATATTTTCTAAAAAGCTGCGATTAACACGTACAGTCATACATCCCGCAGTCAACCCCATTCTTTTTGTTTATTGTGGGAGGAAGTTTCAGACCATACCTTCTGAGAAGTACAAACCATTACGTCTTTGGCCCAAGAAGGAGAGGACTGATTTAGAATTTTTTCATTTTTTTTAATGCAGAGAAATAATGTCAACATGATTATTTTAAATTGCATTGAGAAGATAGAAAATTACTCCTTGTCATACTTTGTTTTGCTCAAAATCTAAAAAGTGTCCATGCCCTGACTAACTCATGCCCATGTTCGTTCTTCCACACTCCAGGTAAATGGTATCCCTGAAGAAAGGAAACTGACTGAAGCAATGAATTTGTAATAAGACAGCATAGCAGTTATATCTCATTTCTTCTCTTTTCCACTAATGCATGAGCTTTTCTGGCATATGGTGTGCATGTCGACAGTATTAAGTCTGTAGCAAATAACACAATATAACTTTCATTTTACTAATGTATTTTTTTTTGTACTTAAAGCATTTTTGACAATTTGTAAAACACTGATGACTTTATATTTGTTACAAATAAAAAGGGACCTTTAAAATAAATATTATTAATGAAGCTTAATGTCGGGTGAAATTTATTTCAGAAAATATCTGATTGCCTTCTATATGGTAGGAATCTTCTGTTGCTAGGAACAGGTTCATGTGGTCGTTCTTTATTCAGTAAGATTTTATTAAGCACGTTCTATAAATGTAGAAAAATGTCTATGCTCTGTGTTCCAAGGGAACAACCCATTTAAATAGTGCTATTATCCTTATGGCATGTCTCATTCTGTTCTTTTATATACTACTACTTGGAGTGTTTTAAGGTAGACCAGGTTTTAAGAATTATGGATTTGATGATACCTTGTTTATGAAGGATGGCCCTGGGCTGCATAATTACCTGTTTCCATTATCAGATACTTGTTTTTAGAAGCAAGCCAGGAGCTATTACTCAAAAAGAGAATAGTTACCCGCTGTTAGTGACATGAATTAGCTCCAAACCCCTGAGTTCCCCTGTAATGACACTACTTTCAAGGCTTTCCTCCTACCATGGTGGTCTGCTTCATGCATCTTGGATACTATTGGTTAAAATGTGGTTATCAGGCCAACTCGCAGGGCTACTTTTTTTTTTTTAATAGACTAGACCAGCAAGAAAACCTTCTACTCTGCTCTGGGCAGATTTCTGTGTTACTTGTTAATTAGTCAAAGGACACACAAATGCTATGTAAATCTGATTCCAAAATCTAAAAAGATTCCCTCTTAGCATTGTTTGCAACAATGTGTCTTTCAGTTAGGGGGAATATTCTATCATGTCCTTGGCATTGGAACCCCCCTTCCCGCCAGCCCCCCAATGCCAAGGACATGATAACAAAGGGTGTAGGTTGTTTGATTTCTTAAAGATTTATATTTTTATTCCCTCCCAAGACAAATAGAGGGTTGCTACTTGCTATTCTTCAGGCCTTATCAGCTTGAGGTTGTAAATATATTGGGTCAGGTTCAAGTCCTAGGAGGAAAGGTTGCCATGACTCCAGATGACTAGATTGTGACACGGTGGCAGAGAACTAACAAACTGTTGCTCCTTCCAGTGAAATCAAGCAGGAACTTGGAAGTCCAAGTAAACAGGAACAATAATACGTGATCCACAAATAAGGAACTAGAGATCAAGGGTTAGGAACTTTATTCATCTCTTCTAGGAAAGAGGCCACTGTGGAGGTTGGAAAATGCAGTTGGAGTTAGCATTGGTTTTTGCACTGAGCATATTAAGGAATTGAATAGGATAAAAATTATTGGTCAGCATCTCACAAATTGGCAATAATTGCCTTAATCTCTGCAATTCTCTCTGAAAACGTGATCTTGCCTCTGACTTAATATTTTGATGGGGACTAGCGATGTTGAACATTTTTTCATGTGTCTGTTAGCCATTTGTATGTCATCTTTGGAGAAGTGTCTGTTCATGTCTTCTACCCATTTCTTGACTGGATTATTTGTTTTTTGGGTGTTGAGTTTGGTAAATTCTTTATAGATCTTGGATACCAGCCCTTTATCTGATATATCATTTGTTAATATCTTCTCCCATTCCATGTGTTGCCTCTTAGTTTTGTTGACTATTTCTTTTGCTGTGCAGAAGATTTTTATCTTGATGAAGTCTCAATAGTTCATTTTTGCTTTTGTTTCCCTAACCTTTGGAGATGTGTCTAGCAAGAAGTTGCTGTGGCCAAGGTCAAAGAGGTTGCTGCCTGTGTTCTCCTCTAGGATTTTGATGGATTCCTGTCTCACATTTAGGTCTTTCAACCATTTTGAGTCTATTTTTGTGTATGGTATAAGGAAATGGTCCAGTTTCATTCTTCTACATGTGGCTGTCCAATTTTTCCAACACCATTTTTTGAAGAGACTGTCTTTTTTCCATTGGACATTCTTTCCTGCCTCATCAAAGATTAGTTGACCATAGAGTTGAGGGTCCATTCCTGGGTTCTCTATTCTATTCTGTTGATCTATGTGTCTGTTTTTGTGCCAAGACCGTACCATACTGTCTTGATGATTACAGCTTTGTAATAGAGCTTGAAGTCTGACATTGTGATGCCACCAGCTTTGGTTTTCTTTTTCAATATTCCTTTGGCTATTTGGGATTTTTCTGGTTCCATACAAATTTTAGGATTATTTGTTCCAGCTCTGTGAAAAGAGCTGATGGTATTTTGATAGGGATTGCATTGAATGTGTAGATTGCTCTATAGCATAGACATTTTAACGGTATTTGTTCTTCTAATCCATGAGCATGGCATTTTTCCATTTCTTTGCGACTTCCTCAATTTCTTTCATGAGGGTTCTATACTTTTCTGAGTACAGATCCTTTGCCTCTTTGGT